GACTACAGAGCTCCTCCAGGAATAGGCCTGAGACGTAATGACATCACACTTTGTTTACATGTGTGCTTTCCTATGGAGTAGATGGTCCTCACTTTATCTGGCGTCCCGACTTGGCTCCCATAGGAAAGTATATATGTAAACAAAACCATCACGTTGTTGACGTCTTGCCAAAATACCAAATCTCTATCCGCATCCCCCTCCTTACATAACAGTCCATAGCACCTGCAGGCACATCCCCAACCCTCTTGCCACAAAATGTTCTTCTATTTTAAGTGTGGAGGAGGATCCTTGAAAAGTCTGCAAATTGTCATATTACAAGCACACATAGCTTCAAAAAAACATGATGGATCAGTACACTTCTACATGCAGTTGGGAAGCGCCACCTGACTGCTCAGACAACCACCTCCCACTCAAATTTCATCCAGCCAATTTGGACTAGATTAAAATTTCAGGTGCAAAGTGTGGCACTGCATTCATCAATAATTCACACAGACTGGTGGTGAATGGCCAACTGCTATAGAGAAGCCGCATGACAACCTACAATAAACAGACTGGAGTGCTGTAATTTTTTGTTATGATTGCAAATACCAGGGATGCAAGACAAAGAACTGAAGACAAGTGCAAATAATTAGATATTTCCACACTGATGATTCACATCCATTCTTATTTTCCCTATATCAGGCATGCAACTGGGAATTTTGAAGAAAAAAAGAGGAAACTCCAAACCACCAAAGACTTTGTACAGTGTTTTTCAATTTGTAATGGCATTCATGAGAAGTAAGAAACGAGGAAATCAGCGGATCCGAGGAAAAGTTGCATGCCTGCTATATGATCGTATAACTGATGTTTGGTTTGTCTTTATGAATGAAATTGGGAAGAGCAAAAACAGCCTAAAGAATATTTCTGAATATTTCATTGCAGGAGAATACTATTCAGTGATAAAACCCTCACTTCCTTGCCAGCTGTACTCAGCTTTTTACCGAGGTCTTCCAGCATTCCCTTGTCAACCCATGGGGGACAGTTTTGAAAGACATTTAGTGCTGGAAAGGAAAAGTGTGCAGCTGTTCCTGGAGGAAAATATCAAATCACTTATTCATCCAAACTCTATTTACATGCAGTAATCCTCATTCAGATCACATGGCTGACGTACTTGTAACATTAACTGATGTTGACAATGCTATCAAACCCATGGAGGAAGTCAAGTGCACAACCAAACCACAAGATAGAAGTAAAATCTGACAGAAATCTGCCCCAGGCTTTGTAGATTCAGGCAAGATAAGACAGCCATTAGATGTCAATTCCAAACAAATAAATCGTTTTTAAAAAGCCTGCAGGATTTAAACAAGCATATCCGGAATGTGCACTGTGGAGTTTTGTGCATTTTAATTGACAAAAGGACAGTTTTTCAAAAATAAAACTTGGTTTAAATTTTTCATTGGTAATTTTTTTTGTGGCTCACTATTCAAAGTAGCACCTAACCTATAAATCTTTCCTCTGTATAAAGAAGTGCAACTCACTCTTTCGACCAATATGTATGCTCTGGTTTTCATTCTCTTTCTTCCCTGACATTATAAATCCAGCAAGACTTGTAATTGTATACTAGCATTCTGGACTGATAAGTCTTACCCAACAACTTGATGCATCATGGCACTGACACTTGGCATACTTACAAAAGGAATTTATCAGAAATGTTTACAGACAACTCTGTTCGTGCCAATGATTATCTATGGTTAGGGGGAAAACTTGCTCAAGGAGTCAATCAGAAATATACGCAGAAAACGTTCTTCATGCCATTAATAAGAGTTAAGGAGGGGGGTTAAAATTACATACAGTAATCTATTTAAGTGTTTCAGCTGCTTGAAATGAAGCAGAGACATTTCTGAAAGGATGATAGAGTTGAGTAGTATAAAGATTGTTTAAAACTTAACGTTTATCTGAGTTTAAATGTGGCTATGTACACCCTGGTAATTGGCACTTTGAATTTGATTTTTACAGTGCAAGCTGAAGTCTTTCATTTAACAAATTTTAACCGACTGAAGCTTATTTAACATAAAATATTAATTAAAGGATTAGTCGAACTGCGTTGCATCACCACTCAGAAACACTCACATCTCCACCCCAATTATTTTGAAAAGTCAATTACTTGTCGACGAAAACGGTTCAGTTTGCTTACCAGCCTGCAGTAAACACAGCCTAGCCCCGCGCTGCATTCAACTGTTTACCAAGTTTTTACGTCATTAAAACATCAAGCTGTACCTCCATGGTGTGTTTTACCCTCGATTCAATTGGTTCAAAGGTTGAGTTTACATTTGGCTTGCCTGGACCTCTCATCGGCCTTCCGTCATTAATGTTCATGTTTCTTGCTGAAATGTCAATGCATGCAGGGCATAGTAGACTCAGTCTACTTGTACTTAGTCAATAGCAAACAGGCATCCAAGCTATTATGGAATACACAGACTTGGAATATTGAATTGCAATAATCTTATAAAATCTTTTGTTCTCCAAAAAAAAACGTGCAGAAGTACATTTCACATTTGTTGATACCGGTATTTATAATTGTTTAGACTTGTGAGATTTTCTGAGATATATATCTTACACTATCTTGATGTCATTCTAATTCTTTGCAGTTCATTACTCCAACATCCAAAGATATTTGTTTTAGTATAAAGTAAAAGTAATTATAATATTGGCAAAAACGTGATTCAAATGATATGCAAATTTGTGGTGGTAGCCAATCCAACGAAAGGAACCCATACGTTCAACCAATGGGATGCCCTCAAAATTTGGGCGAAAACTCCTTCACTCCTGTTCCAAGGATATGCTGGATATTATTTCCTGTATTTGAATGATTTTTTATATTATAATTTTTTTTTTTTTAAATATATTTTACAAAAGATTATTAAATTACAATTTTAGATTTCACCGAAAACTCTGATCATTCAGCGGGTCGGAATGGAGTCCTGATCAGGAACACTTCAACGATTCTTCCGTTTTAGCAGTCTGGTCTCTTAATGGCCCATTATCTCATTATTACCTCCAAATCCATTATCTAATTACCTTGCAGATAGCAGGTGCCAGACAGTTCCTAGATTCACTGACAGGTTGAGTGTTCCCTGGCAGGTTGTAGTCCATTGTCATTACATGTCCGCCAAATTGAAGACCATGCCTAACTTTCAATAACTGTAATACACCGACAAGTCTTCAAAATCTGTTCCGACAAGGAAATGTATTCAAAGCCACATGCATTGTAATCCTGAAGTTGGTCATGATTAGGTTTTCACACCAAAGCGTGACTTCAGTATTGACGTAAAATCTAATTATTGGATTTGTGCACAATTTCAATCCTAAACTAGTAAAAGGTAGTTTAAAAATTTGAAACATCATCCAATATCAGGAAGATTGACTGCATCATTTACTTAAATATATGTAGGTGTTGCATTTTGAATTCAGCTTGTTCGTGAATTTACAAGTCGGCGTAGATGTGCGATGTTTTAAAGGCCTTGGGGCAATATTTGACACTTCAAAATTGATTTTCACAAGGAAGGAAACAAATCGAAGGGCACTGAAAGGTCAGTCTTGTTATAAGAAAAACCAACAAATTTAAAGGTGAAGCAACTGTACAGTATGCATGTGATGTGAACCAACAGACATGCATTTTTTTTATTAGAGCACTTCCTTATTTGCCATCTCTTCAATCCTCCTGGCATAGTGAGGGCCAAAGGAGCAAACATGCTGCACATGTGTCTTCCCACTCTAGGGAAAAAAAATGTGAAAGATGTTGTATTTATTCTAAGATAGGTACTACTCCTTGCTTGTCATAAGGCAAAGTAGAAAAAATAATACATGTTTAGCTTCCTCGCCCGCTTCCTTTTTGGTTGCGCCTGGATTTTTTGAGAAAAAGCAAAAAAGTCAATTGATCTATCCATCGGAAAATTAAATACTTGCAAGTCCAAATTTCTAAGTTTATACTGTCGGGTAACTTTCCACATCATGCAGTCGACCCTGCCCTCTCCAAACCAAACCAGGCTCGACTCCATGGGCTGCATGCGTGTTCCTTCACTAAAATAAAAATGATCGCGGAGAGAGTGTGCTAGACATCTTTTGAGATAATGTATAGACTGATTCTTGTTTGTTAACACCAAAGATCCTATAGCGGCGCTATAGGATCTTTGGTTAACACAAGTGCATTTTGAAAGACAAAAGGGAGTCGGGATAACTAGGGCGGCCAGAACTGGTTTCCGCTAATGAATTCTGACTCTGACCGTACTGACCATGAAGGGAACCAGTGTAGGATATGCGCCATGTGACAACGATACACATCACGTGACAGCAATTTTGCCACACTCTATCTTAAACGCGATGAATTTTTGATTTCGTTAACATCATCGCACGCTGGGTACGACCACAATGATGTCACTGTCTTGCCATTCAAACGAGTCTAAAAATTAATGTGTTCACGAACGAGAGTGGAGCTCTCAAAATTGAACGGGAAATTTCAAGTTTCATCCAGATTGTAACTGACTGTTAGTTAGTACCTCGATCTTAATCCTCGATCTCTGGGCCTACTTGTATCTCTGGTAGCATATCTACATGTACATGTAGTAATAGGCTTTACGAGTCGGCCATATTAAATTAAAAGCGAGGTAAAATCTTCATTTTTGGAAATTGCGAATAGAAATGAAAGCAATGACATAAAATTAATTACAAATTAATATCAGTCTGCTCACATTAAAAAAAAGAAATGAAATTGAGGCTGGAAATGCATAAATACTCTGGCACCATCCCATTCAACAGTTTACAATTTATAAAATACGCTCAGGAAACACGATCAAAAATGGCTTCCTCATGAATAAGGTCTATTTTGTGGCCGTTTTGAAAATCTGATGTTTTGTTGTTGGGTCGTTAGCCAAATGAAAGACGATGCAACAAAAGAATGAAAGACGTGGCCACGAATGTTCATATTGCATGGATTCATGGTGACAGACGTCAGTTCAGATATTGGTCTGAAAATGGATAACAGGCCTGAAATATGTTTTCAGATTCATTCAATTTTCTCAAATTCAAAATGTCTCATTTAAGTCCCAAGTCTGAAAAATCTCATGCCTAATAATAAAAGTGGCTCACAAGATGCAAGAGACTTGTCTCTTGACTTTACGTACTTCACATACTGCATCAGCTTAATGCAGGAATGACGTTAGACCAGGAGTAACAAGCAAGGAAAGTAATCAACTGAGGCTTTGCAGAGGTTTTCACAGATGAACCCATTCCTGCCCGGCAGCTATCATAAGCAGAGGGCAGAGAGACATTAAGAAGAAGGAGGAGCAAGGAGGAAGGGGCAAGATGTGGGTTAATCAACTCCTGGACCTTAACCACCTGTTCAGAGGAAAATATCAAAGTAAACAAGGCATGGGTTAGGTTGACATTTACAAGTTAGAAGTAGGGGAATGTAAACTCCAACAAATTAGATTGGGGTAGACACAGTCAGAATTTTCCTGTGGAGTAGACAAACACTTGCAGGAGATACATACATACATGTATGGGACACTGCTGATGTCACTTTTAATTGCTATAGGAATGTGGTAAATACAATAATAAGAGAATTATATCTCGAAAAAGCATTCATAGTTCTAAAGAGTGATTCCTTTCAACTGAAATTGAAGTAAGTTCTGTGCATGTTACCAATGGTAATCAAATCAATGTTGTTTTAAAGCCAATCAATTTTTAAAAGGTGCACATACGTGTAGGCCTACTCAAATTACTATTGTCCTCAGGGGAAAATTTCAACATAATCTTCACGTCTACATTTATAATACAATAAACATGAGCACAATCCTCCAGGCAAAAATAAAACCACTTAGGTTTCAACAATGTCAGCTCATGCAAATTTTATGAAAAAATACAGACAGCCAACTATTCATTTAGTCAGATTGAAATTATACTCCTAATTTATATATCCAGTGGCGCCAACAATTGCCATCTTTAATTCATGTTGTACGTTTAAGTCAAACAATGTGTGACATTATCAAACACTGTTATTTGAGATCTCTTTCCAGTGATATACCCGGTATGTATAGTCCATATGGCCAAATCCACAGTTTTCTTTTCAAAGAATGCACCTGCTTATTTTAAACAGTTCAACAATGTCCTAGGTTCACCATTTCGCTTTTTCTTTTACATTTTAATCAGTGTTTTTCCTTCTCCAACCATCTGGTAATCCAAGTAGGAAGAAATATGCAAACTCTTATCTCGTTGATTGAATTGCAGAAGGATGAAGTGCGCTCTCACCAATTCTCATCATCCACTGTTATTCCCTGACTTCAAAGTAGAGTGCCGTCTCAAGTTTCCTGCCTCACATACGTGACTTTTCTCTAAGCAACTTGCTTCTCTCGCTCACTCGTACTGAATCTTCGTTTTCCCGTCTCTTCTTCATCTCTTTTTGTCACTCCATGCAGCTCTGAGGGCCCATTACTATGAGTGTCATGGCTTGGGTAATAATTACGGCAGAAACTCAGCATTCAGCATACTGCCATTCAGTGTTTACATTGTAATCCAATGTTGAACTCTGTGACTGTATCAAGTGATTTGAATAACTACGACATACAATGACGAAGTGCCTAGAAGTTTAAGTAGGATCCTAATATACTGAAGCAGCAAAACAACACCACCATACGCAAAGCACCAGTCTGAAGTTTGGATTATATACTTAGAAAGTTGTATCCATTTTTTCTTCTGAAGATGCGAATAAGCAAACACTGGCTTTTCCTTCTGAAGGTCTTTGAAGGTTTCAAAATTTTTCTGAAATTAATAAATATCAGAGATGTAAACTGTAGGGGGGGGGGGAGGATGTAACTTTCAAAAATGAAACAACAGAAATACATAATCAGAAACATACATGTGGACCTGTATCTCAACCAACTAAGAACCCAAATTAATATCAAATGCTGCACATTTCAAGAACAAATTTATAAGGAGACAAACTGTTACACAAAATTCCAGAGTATCTTGCCTTATTTCCTACAACTGAATTTGTAAGCCACTCTGATTACTTGCAGAAAATACGTTCCTCTGCCAGGCGTGCCGTTTATTTACTTAAAATTTCTACATGTTTGTATTTATTTTATCACTATCGCAAATGCGCATTGTAGAGAGCCTGTTTTGTAATTGTTTTTCTGCATGTAAGTGGAAATTACACAGTGCATGTGTGTACACAAGAGCCAGGTTTATGAATTATGCTGACGTCAGTTTACATTCTGCTTCCATTGAAAACATTTTATCAGCTGAATAATTAGATGCCATTTTCACAGCCTAATTACTTCAAATGCTATTTGTTCAGATGGATCATAACAGTGGCCAAAAACTAATTATACCAGCGTGCATACATGTCCATTACAGTCTGAGATAAGACTTTACACAACCATGGGCTTTCAAATAAATCAAACTTTAGGTTTTGAAAAGAAACCTTGTGGTAGAAATATTCCCTTTGAAGGGTAAAATCCCCAACAGAAGAGACTGTTCCTAATTTTGATTCTGATGTAAAGTCTAAGCTAGGACCTCTGTTGAAATCCAGTTTGAAATCCCCCACCTAACAAGGATACAGAGAGTTTTCCAATAAAAGCCTCCAAAAAGCAGCTCTCCAATCCATAAGATGTGTTGCTGTTTTCAAATTTCCCAGTCGGTTCAGTTGTCAAATGATAATTTAGATTCATCCAAGCCCACATGCCCATGGGAGGGGATTTGGATCCCATCCCATAAAACGTCAATTACCAGAAATCAGCTTTTTTGTGAACTCATCACACATGCTAGGCACCCATTTTTTATGCAAAGCACGTTCAGCAAGGTAAGTCATTTCTTGCGTACATGTAGTCTACAAATGTTTAACTGAAGGAATATGCACGCATGTATGTGGACCTTGCATTTCTGTTACTTCACAGCGATGTTTCTGGTCCCATATGAAGCATCCATGATTTTAAGAGTAATTTTTCGAGGTGTTTTTTTTAAATAAAATTTCCTTTCTTGTCTGCATGGCACAATTTTCAAGATATATTTTGTTACCATAAACAAGTGTCCATTTGAAATTCACAATTTACAAATAGTCTGGCTGGATATTAATTCATTTTCTTCTGAATTGTTTTGTTTTACATCGTCTGAAAACGCAATGGAAATAACACCTAAGATGAAAGCATTTTTTCACCTGTATGTACTGACTATATTGTTTTAAAAAAAACACACACACAAATGTAAGAAAAAATATATTGCCAACTTGTTATAAAAGTGTTTTTCCCATCAACTTAAATTAAAGAACAAGTTGATATTGATATAAAATGTACGCAAATGCAAATGTGGCTTAGATGTGTTGCAGTCATGCAGTCTCATTACACACAGAGTGTCCAAGGCCAATTTCGTTACACGTATATTTTTTATCATGGGTTTTTTTTTTTTTGGTAGACTCGCTTTAGGCATTACATACTTGTGACGAGTGTAACCATTTGCATAGAGTCCCAGGCTCCACACTGGGGCTCCCACCGTGTCAGTATGCCACTGGAATCTCTAACAGCAAGCCAAGATCCATTTGCAAATTAATTAACGAGACGCCCAAGCTGGATACTGATTGCAGTTCAGATGAGAAGTGTTCGAGTGTGAGTGTGTGCATGCATCCTGCATACACAGTCCACGGAGATGAATTCAGATCCATTTCAGTCTCAGAAATACCATAATGGCACCTATCCCAAACACTTACATGCATAATTATTAGAGAGTGTTTCTGGATGAAAGGTTTACACCCATAGAAGTATTAAAATGGAGCAGAAGTGGAAACATCCAAACCAACTAATTATAAAGATTCCCCAATCTATCAATGGCTGCATAGTCAGACTATATGCTGTCCAAAGTGACTATGGTAAAATTTCTTTGTGGTCTTCCAATGTGACTTATAGGTCACACAAATGGTACAAGGGAGGGGTACTGTACATCTGTACGTGACCGAACACTGAAACTGCTAGCTCTGATTTCACAATTCGATTTGTCCATCTCAATTACTGTTTATATAGGTGATCCCTGCATAACGCCTAATGGGTGGACTTCTAGGCTGTTGATTTGCCAGGGGATGAAGGCAGAGCAACCGGATAAGATAGGACAAGCCAGTCAACAGCCGGTATGACGCCAGTGAACTTAATGGTTGTCAAAAGATCGCAAGTGGTAAGCTTCAAGTCAAGACAGAAAACAGCAAAGCTTTACAAAAAGAATTCTCGGGTCTTTCAATTCAAGTAATTTGAGTCATGAATCCAAAAAGTTTATGTACAGCACACATCAAGCATCTTTGGGAGGTCTACCGGTAGTTGTGTATAAATTCCTGTGCAACAAGAGCATGTATCCTTAAAGGTGGCTGCTATAGTGATGTGCATTTACGTGTATCGGTAGTAGGGGTACCATAATTTGAAAAATTCCCCACAAATAGCATTCAAAACCTTTAGTTACTAAGTAATTTGTGAAGTTGGCTACGGGTACTCAATCCGATAAATATGGAACCTGTTCCTGACATCAGCGGTTGGGTACGGTACTTGGGTACCTGATTCTAATGCACACCACTAGTGGCTGCAATGTGAAGGATGGTCCAATAGGCACCTGACATTAGGATTCTACAAAAACTACAAGAAACTGCCTAAAAGACAACAACTGATATCCTACATATAAATAACAACACCAATAAATGATGTTTCTTTGTAAGATACAGCATGCGTCTTAAGTAGTCTGGGTGCTGTCTGGATTACTTACTGCATGGCTTATGACAGGAATAATCTAATAGCAAAATAATACCCTTAATGGAAGCCAAGAAGCAAATTGCATTTGGGGCTTAATTTACGCATGCTCAATAAGTACGTGCTAGTAAGGCCTAAAATTATAATGCTGCTATTTTAAAATTACCCTAATGTATGATAATCCATAATTGTAATGTATAGTTTACATGTACAGTGTGTGCATGACATGTACACATACTTTTTGTAAAGTCCTTTCATTTTATATGCACATTTTTTTGTTGGCTACAGAATTTTGAAAATTAATTTCTTTTCAATTTTAAGAGGTATCTCTACCTCCCAAATCGTAGCGATCATTTTTAATAATTATGTTCAGGCACGCATTTGTTAATGTTTGTTTTGTATAGGCCAAATTCTCACTTCATATATGTTTAATAACATTTTATTGCACAAGTCAAATTGATTTGGGTAAAAAGCCCATTAAGACTAAATTGAATCAGCAAGAATTATCTGCACAATTTTCTCAGCTATGTTCAACACTTAAATGCAGTATTTTTTGACTTGCCATGTCCATTCAATATTACTGGAAATTCCTTTTTCAATTTTCAAATTTCATTGTTTTTATAATGTGTCCATTTGACAAAGCTAAACAATATTAAACGATTGCATTTTCCATGACAACATGACTAGGACTAATATTTTACCATAATGTTATTACAATGTGATGATTGAATTTAGCTTCAAGACAGCTTTTATTTCGACAATCAAATTATAGACTTGTCAAACCAAGAAATCTATGGACACAACTGCCCAGGAACCTGTATGGTGTATTATCCTACAATTGGCTACTAACACTACGGACCTCAGAATTTTTGTAATGATTCATATATTTCTTTGTCTGATCACACAGTAATTTATTTATGCAGGTACTTTAAAAACATAAAAATGTCAAAATTAATGGGTATTGTGTGGGAGGACATGTTTCCCAGCCAATCCATTCCAAAAACAAAAGCAAATAAAGAATTGTCGCTGCAGTTTCCTCATTAAATTGTTTTGCCACATTTAGAAACCACACTAGGCATTCTCTCTCCATGTTCGATCATAAATCACCCATCACTGTATCATTTATCTCACAAAGCAGTCTCTGGCTTTTATGCATGGTGCTGCAAACAGCTTGTTTTTGTTTCTGAAAATTACCACATTAGGGGCCATTCAAAATTGTCAATGTTTTTCCAATTTTTTTCAAAATTGTTTTGACCCACCCACCCACCCACCGCATATTTGTTTAATAAATGTTGAATTGATAATTCAATATATCCTATACCCCGAAGAACAAAGTAATACTTCAAATGAGCCACATTTTTTAGGTTAATGCTCTCCCAGCTCAGGAGTTTTCATTGGCTTTCCAGGCTTCCAGCAAGCAACTTTGAAGTTGAAACAAGAGGAAATTGCTTATCACACAAAACTTTGTAGTGCTGTTGTGAATGCTGCATACCCATCGTTTGTTGGTTTCAAAAGTCATTGAGTTTAACATTTTGCACTGACAAGCTGAAAGCTGAATGATTATAAAGTTCACCAATCCCCCAAGAAATATTTTTTTATGAAAAGTGCATTTCGACTTTCAATTATTTACCTTGACCCACCCACCCACAATTTCAAAAAAAAATTCGAAATTTAAAAACATTGAAAATTTTGAATGGCTCCTTATAGTGCCCTGGAAATTATGTTGGAAGAAATTGATTTTCGGGGAGGGGGCTGGAAAGATTTAACAAACACTTTTGTTCATGTGTAGTGAAGAAATGGCTGTCAATAAGAGACACATGAGAAAAAGTATCACCAATGTCTACAAGATTGCTAATGTTAATTTATCAAAGAGTTGCCACATTTTTTCTTGGGGGAGGGGGAGGGAGGGGAGGGAGGAGGGGGGGGGGCGGGCCTGATATCTTTGTTCTGAGATTTCTCATATAACTCAATATTACACTGCACCTAGCTCAAATAATTCAAACTAAAATCATGCATAAGGTTGTACTTGTATTCATGACA